GCGGGACTCGATCCCAGGACCCTGAGATCATGACCTGAGCCGAAGGCAGCGGCTTAACCCACTGAGCCACCCAGGCGCCCCAAGAGTCCATTTTTAAAAGAGAGGCAAAGAATTTTACCAGATACTTCATCAAAGAAGATACACAGGTGGCAATTAAACACTTGAAAAGATGCTCAGTATCATTGGTTGTTAGGCATATGAAAATTAAAACCACAAAGAATATCAGAAACAAATATTGGAATGGATAAAATCTGTTTGACTGACCATACCAAAAACTGGTGAGGATATGGAGGAAATAGAAGTCTCGTACACTACTGGTAGGAATGTAAAATGGTACAACCACTTTGGGAGACAGTTTGACAGGGTTAATTTTTTTGGATTTTATTTATCTATTCGACAGAGAGAGAGAGAGATCACAAGTAGGCAGAGAGGCAGGCAGAGAGAGAGGGGGAAGCAGGCTCCCCGCTGGGCAGAGAGCCCGACTCGGGGCTCGATCCCAGGACCCTGAGATCATGACCTGAGTCGAAGGCAGAGGCTTAACCCACTGAGCAACCCAGGCGCCCCAACAGTGTTTTAAAATATTAAACATATACTTATTATATGATCCAGTTATTCTGTCCCTAGAAGTCTACCAGGATAAAGGAAACATATGTCCATTCATAGACTTGTATGCTAATCTCCAACAGATAAGTAAATAAACAAAAGGTGGTATATCAATACAATGAAATATTACACCGTAAAAAGGATCAAAGTTCGGATACCTGCTGTAGTGTGTCAACCTTGAAAACATGTTGAGCGAAGGAAGCCACACACAAAAGGTCACATATTGTATGGTTCATTTATATAAAATATCCACACTAGGCAAATCTATAGAGACAGAAAATAGATTAGTAGTTGCCAGGGGCTGGGGGAAGGGGAAAATGGAGAGTGAGTACTAATTACTACGGCGTTTCTTTTTACTTTTTTTTAACATATAACATAGCATTTGTTTCAGGGGCACAGTTCTGTGATTCATCAGTCTTATGTAATACCCAGTGCTCATTACAACACATACTCTCCCCAGTGTCCATCACCCAGTCACCCTTTCCCCAACCCCCTCTGGTATGGGGTGATGAAACGTTCTGGAATGAGATAGTGGTGATGGTTGCACAACCTTGTGAATATACTAAAACCACTGAACTGTATACTTGAAAGGGGTGGATTCTATGGTATGTGGATTTTATCTTACAAGAACACCCCTTTGGAATGGAATAGGGAATGACCTGTTGATGTATGGAACTACATAGATGAATCTCCAATAATTTTCTAGAGTCTGTCAGACAGAGAAGAGCACATACTCAATGATGCACTTATAGAAAACTCTAGAAAATGCAAACTAAACTATAGTGACAGAAAAGTGAATCAGTGGGTGCGTGGGGTTGGGGCTGGGGCGGGAAGAAGGGATTATAAAGGGGCAGAGGAAACTTGGCGGTGACAATATGTTCACCATCATGATTGTGATGATGTTTTCATTGGGTGTATACCTGTTATTTTAGAAATAATACAACCCCTCTTCTGCCTTCCTGGGCCACCACCATCTCCTGTGCACATGTCTCTTTGCGACGTTTCTGACAGAGGGCATAAAAAGTCATCTCTTAGGTCCCAAATATGAGAAGTTATTTTATTCTTTTCTGTTGATATTCTGAATCTTTGTATTAGTGCTTCCTGAAAACAATCTATAAATAGGATATGGTAAAGACACTATGAAGACATATTCTTCAAGCACTTTTCATTTTTTTATTTTTATTTTTTTAAAGATTTTATTTATTTGACAGAGAGAGATCACAAGTAGGCAGAGAGGCAGGCAGAGAGAGAGAGAAAGAGACAGGCTCCCTGCTAAGCAGAGAGCCCAAAGCAGGACTCAGTCCCAGGACCCTGAGATCATGACCTGAGCCAAAGGCAGAGGCTTAACCCACTGAGCCACCCAGGCGCCCTTCAAGCACTTTTAAAAAGGGAATAGGCTCGGGGCACCTGTGTGGCTCAGTCGGTTAAGACTCTGCCGTCAGCTCGGGTCGTGAACGTCAGGGTCCTGGGATTGAGCCTGCTCAGTGGGGAGCCTGTGTCTCCCTCACCTTTTGCCCCTCCCCGTTTGCACTCTCCCTCTCAAATAAATACAATCTTAAAAAAAAAAATAGTGCCATCCGCCCACTCCAAATCCGTTTGACCCTGCTGCTCTTCCTTTCTCCGCCATGGCTCTTCTCACCTTCTAGCTTACTAAATAAGTTACTTCTTATACTTACTGCTTGTCTCTCTGCCCCACTGGAATATCAGGCCCACAGGGGCAATGACCTTTGTCTGTTTCGTTAATGGCTTTATCCCCAGTACTTAGAATCATGTCTGGCATACGGTAGGGACTCGTCTGTTGAATGATTTACGCTCTACTGTATCCCGAGCATGCAGAATGGTACCTGGAACACAGCGAAAGCTTAAGAGATGCCTGTTGAATGGATTGGGGAAATAGGGGCACTGGGTGAGGACTGACTGCCCCTCATGCAGCTTTCCAAGTTGTTGGATCCTTCACCCTCCTGCATGGTACTAAAAACATGGAGCTTAAGAGGGCCCAATGTGGGGAGTGGCAGGAAGGAGCCCCTGGCTGAGGAAGGAATGTCAGAAGAGGATCTAACTGCCTGTTCTCTGCCACCAAGCTCAGCCCTGGGCAACAGTCCTAATCGCCCCAATAATTCGCTCCTCTCTGAAAGGCAAAGAGGCTGCTTCTTGCGTCTGCTGCCACTGGTCCTGTCTGCGCTGGTCCATCTCTGCCCTGCAGCGTAGCATAACCTGGCAGTTTCAGACAGTACCTTCCTCTCCTCCATGTGCCATGACACTTAAAATAGATCTTTCATCAGATTTTAGTTTCGTGGAGTTGAGTTTTCTCTCGAGCCTGTCTTCAAACGCAGGGCCTGAAGTTCTTAAATACGCCCCTGTGTCCAGAACACGCAGCCCTAGCAGAGCATCTGGCCCCCCAACAGACCATCATGGTTTTGTGTGCTTCTCCTGGGTGGTTCCAAGACAGGCTCCTCGTATCTCAAGAAGTGTGCACAGGATCAGGAGACTTTCCCGATCTGTCCCTTGTCCATTGGGCACAAGGAGAGACAAAAAGGCTGCGCAGTTCTCTCTCGGCTCTCTGCCTAGTGCTCTTCGGCTGCCGAGGTTGCCCCTTTGGCCACAGTTGCTGCAACAACAGCTGTGAGTCTGTGAATTCTCCTCAGGCCACGCACAAGCCAGGGACCATGACCATAAAATTTGTTCAGACTGGCCTCAACGTCATGGGGGGGATGAACAAGATGTGGGTGAGAAAGCATCTGCCTTTCCTGCAGTCTTTTGAAGACAGGCTCGGGAGAAAACAAAGTGTCTTGCTGTTTTCTCCCGAGCCTGCTCAGCTGAAAGAGTCTTTCAGCTCTTCTCAAGGGTGTTACCAAGATGAATTTATTTTGATTTGGAGGAGAGAGGAGGCCTTCATGACAGAGCGTAGAACATACAACAGGACTACCGGACAGGTCAGATTGGGAACCTTGAGAAGGCATGACCCTTCCCCACAACATGAAAAATATAACCCAGCCAGGAATTCCGGGGGCAGTGTAGACAAACACCATTATGACTCAGGAGCTGGAGCAACTGGCGGTTAGGGGTTTGTCCTCTGCTCCCAATCTTGAAAACAGATGAGTTCTGGAATTAATTAGGGATAACATATCAGTCAGTTCGTAAAGATCATCTTTGCAAGTGTACTTCACGCTGCGGGGGTATGAGACTGGAAGGTTTTCTGGTCATCCATTTCCTTACTCAGCATATGGCTGCTGATTTGGCCAACTCACTGCTTTTTTGTATTTGATTCTGGCTCAAAGCCGCAGTCCGCCTCTGCTTGGCAGGGATAGCAGCTTAGCTTTTATTGTCATGCTCTGGGGGATGGCTGCCCAAGAGGAGGGCAGATGGGCAAAATATGTGAAGGGGATTAAGAGGTACAAACTCCCAGTTACCAAAAAATAAATAAATAAGTAAACAAATAAACAAATAAGTTAGGGAGATGAAAGGTATACCATAGAAAAGAGTCGGTAATGTTTGTATAATGTCTGGTGAGGACACTCTGCGTGCTGGGCATGGCGTCGTGTGTAGAACTGTCAAACCACTACACTGTACACCTGAAACTGAGATCACATTGGACGTCAATTATACTTCAACAATTAAAAAAAAATTTTTTTTAATTTAATCAGGAAAAAAAGGGTTGTAAGAACTTTAATGTGATAATTATTTTAAAAAAATTGTCCAGTGCTGTGCCATGTTCTGACCTGTCATGAGTTTATACCAGTGATGTAGATCTAACTCCAATGCCATTTATTACATCAACAACTTAGCGATCAGGGGTGATTTAGAAGCAATTGTACCTAAAGTTCTGGCTTCCCTTGCTGCTTTTCTATCTCAGCCTGTTAAACAGGAAAAAGTTTAAGGACTGCCTGACAATAACTTTTCTCAGAGTCCAGTTACCTGGAGGAATCAGAGAAGTTTAACCCAGGACACACAAAATTTTTTACCATCAAGCCAAAGTCTGGGGACTAAAATGGGGGCCCCAAAGTTAACTGGCTACTCTGGGAGGTAGAGCAAACACATCCTATTTGTGGGTAGAAGCCTCCCTTTCTTCTGGACTCTCTCGTCACTGGCTCAAGATAGCCTCTGGACATCTGATCTGGACCAAGAGTAAAAGCAGAGCCACCGCTGAGATTCTCACTTGGAAAGCTGTGCAGAGATGTGGCATTCCAGACTCCTTAGTATCTGCTCAAGGGACACACTTCATAGCTTCGGTGTTCCAAGAATGAGCTCGTGAGCAGGCAGATCCTTTGGCAGATCCTTTGGCTTGTCTGTCAGCCCCGCAGGGTGGTGGGGCTGAAGCCCTGCACGGCTCCCACCACAGTCAGCCCAGCTCCCGCTTCCACTCAGCTCAGCACACATTTACGATCTCATCATTCTGCTAAGTTTGGGCAATGATTTTTATTACACGCTAACTTCTGGAAAAGTCTCGGCCAGTTTCGAGTCTCCCTTCTGGTCCATCTGTCTCATGCCCTATCCCGTCCTTGTCCTGGAGCTGCAGTGCAAGCAGATGGCAGAATGACGACCTCCCCACCTCTGCGAAGACAGGCTCTGCACACTGTACAGAGCTGGCAGCAGCCCAGGGGTGGGGCTGCAGGTCAGTCTTCATCTGAGTCCCTGGGGCCTGTGTACTGGCAGACAGCATCATAGGGAAGCTCCACCAGCTGATTCTCTCTCCGCAGCTGCACCAGGGCCTGGTTCCGTTCTCTGTCCCAGCCCAGCAGGCGGCCCACCTGGAGCAGTGGCGGGTAGAGTCAGCAAGGCTAACCCAGACACCGAGAAGGCCCTGGCATGCCCCCCACCCCAGGTCTGGGACTCACCCTTCCAGCCTGTGGCCCCAGCACCACCATCACCCGGTTGCCCTCGACCTTGGGGACGAGGGTCTCCAGCATGCCTTCCTTCACGCCTGCAGATGAGGAAAGGGGACTGAGTGAGGCCCTCAGCCAGGGCCAGCCCACCCAGGGTCCTGTCAGAAGGCCTTTCCTGTATTCCCCAGAGACACCCTGCACCCTGTTGACAAGTGGGGTCCCACCACCCCATTTCACAGGTGAGGACACCTAAGGAGCAGGTCCTAGAAATAACTTAATAAAGGGAGCACTTATGCATGAAGATGATGGGTGACGACAACAGATCCCATTTACTGTGGGCATGTCAGAAGCCTGCCCTGCACAGGGAGTTCCGTACAATCCGCACAAGGCTCGGTCCCCAGAGGGAGAAAACAGCTAATTTCCATGCCAGTGTTTGCCCGTGGGGGGAGAGAGGCTCAGATAATCACCATCTCAGAAGCGTCTCATGTTCTGTCAGAAGATTCTGGGCCTTGCAAAATACCTGAGTTCTGCCCAACCCCCAGCCTTTGCCCATGCCAGCCTCTGGGTCGAAGACAGGCTTTCCGTTTGGCCTCCAGGAGGATAACAACCCAGTGGTCACCCTCACATTCACCTTCCAGGATCCGGCCTTCCTCTGTTCGACACACACAGGTATCTGGGCTGAGGACATCTTCAATCGTCATCTGGGGAGAGGGTCGGGGGTGTGAGAATGTCAGACTCACAAGGCCTAGTCCCTGGGGGTGGAGGGGGCACCAGGTTGCAGGGTCCCCACCTTGGTGTTGTAATACTGGCCACCCTTGTGCTGCTTGTCCACAAAGCGCACGCGCAGGTCCCTGTGCAACCAGTGCTGGCTCCGGGAACCGACCTTCTCAGTCTTGGCTACAGGCTCCCCTTCTCTGTGAAAAAGGGGCCAACGCGAGGCTTAACTGATCACAGGCATGTTCCGGTCACCCCACCTTTGCGGTTATGACACCCACCCGTAGTGCCATCTCTAGTTTCTTCTATGTGCCTGCCTGGCCCTGGAAGCCTTCTCTGGATGCTAGGACCTTTCCACAGCCTTGCCTTCTCCCCCCATCCCAGATGCCCAGGGTCCCACCGGTTGGGAAAGTGTTTCCGCTTCCTCTCTGAGTCTTCCCGCCGGCCGGGGAGCTCCTGATTCTGGAGGGCCTTCCATGATGACGAGGCTGTTCCGTTCTGTTGTCCTGGGGAACTTTTGTTCATCTGGCCTGTACAAGGGTATGTGGAGGAGAACCACAAAGGAGCTTCAGTGCGCCATTCTCTTACCAGGGAGGCTACACCTTGGCTTCCCGCCACCTCCCAGCTGCCTCAGTGTCCCCTCCCACCATCACAACTTTGTCGGTGCCATTAGAAGGCTCTTCCCTTCCCCTCAACTGCTGGGCTTCCTTCAAGACACCTTCCTCAGCCACTCGAGCATGTGCTCACAGTGCTGATCTAAGACACCATTCCCTAGTGTGGGCTAAGGAAATCCGAGAGCTCTGAGAGCACCAGTCTCCCATCTGCCAAACTGCTCCCATCCTGCTGCCATGCCTAGAATGCCTTCCTCCTTGGTCATGGCCTAGTCCCTGCTGCTCTCATGACCTAGAAGAAGAGGGGCTCATCACCTTGAACAGAGAGACCTCCTGAGGACGGGCATAGGTTTCCAAACCTGTTTTTTCTTTCTCAGAAAGAGGCTAAAGCGTCAGCATCAATTTTTCTTCAAATCACTTATCTTCATTCTCACCTCCTGACTTCTGACCAGAAATCACACCTGCCAGGCAGACCACTGCCCTTCTCCTCTGTGGATCTGACACCTGCACCCCGCCCAAGCCTTGACCCCAGAGATAGGCCCTACCGCCCCCTGGAATGGTTCTCCAACTCTCCCAGCAAGGTAAGAGGCTTACTCACTGAGATCCAAGGAGCTCTTCTCAAACTCCTGCTGGGAGACAGGCCGCAGGCAGTACTCACTAACGGTCACCATGCGGTTCCCCATGGCCAGGCGAACCATGGCCCGGACATTGTCAGGATCAAGGCCTTCTACCTGAAGTGTTGGGGGGAAGAAGTTAGGGGTTGAAAGGACTAAACCCACATTCCTTTTATTTTTTTAAAGATTATTTATTTATTTGATAGATAGATAGAGAGAGAGAGAGAGAGATCACAAGTAGGCAGAGAGGCAGACAGAGAGAGAGGGGGAAACAGGCTCCCCGCCGAGCAGAGAGCCCGATGCAGCACTAGATCCCAGGACCCTGAGACTATGACCTGAGCCAAAGGCAGAGGCTTAACCCTCTGAGCCACCCAGGTGTCCCTAAACCCACATTCTTAGGACCATGCTATTTAGTCTTACCTCCAATAGGCCTGACCCCTGTGTCTCCCCCACCAGACTGGCCCAAGGTCTGGAACTGGGCCTGGTCCATGTGTCTCCCCCACCAGACTGTGTGTTTACAATAAACTTTAAAGAGCTTAAGCCTCAGGAACATGTGGTATATGTCATTCCCTCTTTCAGTTGGAAACCGAGGCCGAGAAAGGCCCAGCAAGTGGTTCTGAGTTAACCAAATGAGGCAGCAAGCCAGGCAGGCCTCAGAGACAAGGACCCCACCCAGCCTTTCCATCCTAAACTCAATTCTTTCTCCCTCTGACCCTTCCCATCAATCTTCTCTGCGGCCTGGTTTGGGCTCTAGGCAGAGCCTGGTTCCTTACCTTCCCATACAGGCCTCGGTGAGGGCCAGAGAGAACCACCACAGCCCCTCCAGGCACCAGTCCTTGAGGCTGGTCTTCCTTATCTTTCTCTTGCTTCTCATCTGGCTTTGGTAGGTGGTGGGCGCCAGTGAAGACCAGGGCCTGGACCTCATTCAGGCTGGCGCCCAGCCCTAACCCCTTCGGCCTCAGTGAGTTGACACGGGGCTTCACCACTCTGCAGGGTACACAGTGTGTAAGCTTGTTGGCCTGGGGGCACGGGAGGTGAGGGAGAGACGCAAGTCTTCCGTGTCCCCCCACCCAACGCCACCCAAATCCCAACTGTCAACATGTTCAAGAATATCCTTCCCGATCCCACATTAGGACTATTTGATCTGTAGAGATAGCAATTTCATTTGGTTCAACCTAATACCACACGGGGTATACCATCTACTACATATTATCTATAGTGGGATCTGGGGCAGAGCCCTGAATTCAAATATCCTAGTAATATTTCTACAGGGGAAGTCATACAAATATTCATACCAAGCAGGAGAAATCAACTGTAATATGCTCTGCATCAATTCAGGTCATCTTTGGCTAAGTGGTTTATGAAAAAAATGTGTGATTTTCAGAATTCTTTGGAGTTAAGAACTGAGAAGAAGGGCTCCTAAATCTGTGTGGTAACAGCAAACGTCTTGTCTATGTTTATCTGGGGCCAGGCCCTGCTGTAAGTACTTTATGTGGATAATTTCACATAATTCTGCAACAGACCTGGGAAGTCAGTATTGTCACTATTCCCATGTTGCAGATGAGGAAGCTGATACTCAGGAAGGTAACCAATACATAAATGGGATCCCGTTACAGAGTTTCAAAGGGCAAACAGGAGACTGAAACAGTAGTGGAAAGGCTTACTGAATTACTTAGGGTGGTAATATGCCCTCTTTGTACCTGGATGGTTCTGGATGGGCGGTAACCCATGGGGGTCTTGTTCACTGCCCTGTCTGCTGCCCCATGCCCCTACCCTAGAACTCACTGATTGAAGGTGCGGCCAATGCCCTCGCCAGGTTTCCAGCCCATGCCTCGTAACATGGCCAGCCCATAGGCCTCTACGGGGACTGCCTCATAATCAGCTTCCTCCGGCACCTACAGGTTCAGCAGAGAAAGGATGGTCAGGCTGGGCCCATGGTGGGCCCTTAGAAGCATGCTTACTAACACCCAATGGGTGATCCTCGGGGCTTCTTTACCAGGAGTTTACCAGCTTCTTTACCAGGTACTTCTTTACCAGGAGTCCAAGCAGAGAAAACAGTAAGACCAAAGGCCCTGAGGCAGGGCAAGCCTGGTATGTGGGAAGAGCATCATGAAAGTCAACCTGACTGAAAAAGAGATGTGGAGGTAGAGAGGGGCGGTGAGGGACTGATCAGGACGTCTGGGCTGGAGCTGTAGGAGGGGGGCCGCCAAAAGGAGGTCCGTGAGGAAGTTACTATACAACAGTCCAGATGAGAGATGCTGGTGGCTCAGACCAGAGTGGTAGGTAGGTGCTGGTGAGAAGTGGTTAGATTCTGGATGTATTCTGCAAAGGGAGATGACAGGATTTTGCTGAAAGACTGCATATGGTGTATGAAACAAAGAAGAGAGTCAAGAGTGACTCGAAGGTTTTTAGGCTGAGAGAGGAAGGGTGGATGGAACTGTGATCCACTGAGATGCTGCAGGCTGGGGAAGGAGAGGAAATGAGAGAAATGAGGCCAAAGCGGGAACAGGATGGAAAGTGAAGTGAAGGTCTTTTTTTAAGATGAAAGAAACCAGGGTGCCAGGGTGGCTCAGTGGGTTAAAGCCTCTGCCTTCGGCTCAGGTCATGATCCCGGGGTCCAGGGATTGAGCCCCACCACACTGGGCTCTCTGCTCGGCGGGGAGCCTGCTTCCTCCTCTCTCTCTCTGCCTGCCTCTCTGCCTACTTGTGATCTCTGTCAAATAAATAAATAAAATCTTTAAAACAAAAATAAAAAAAAAGATGAAAGAAACCAGAAGATAGCTGAAGGCCAATGAGAACAGTTCAGTTGAAAGAGGTGATCTAAGGCTATGGGAGAACTAGGCCCCAAAGAAGCATTGATAAAAACTGTGAATAAAGTGGTAAAAAGGAGGGTCCATGGGTATGACAGACAGACTTGGTTGCTTCTTTAGACACAACCCAGGGAAGTACCCTGTTATCTACACATCCCATCCTCACTCCCTCGACTCCTTTTTATCCCCCCTCAATTCTTTATACTCATTCTAGACACGCTGCAGGTTGCTTCACTGATGGACCCACACCACACTGACCCACTGCCACTGTGCCACTGCTCAGGCTGCTGCTGCCATTAGTACCCACCCTGCACCTCCCTCACTCACTAAAGCTGACCTGTCCTTCCAGGCCTCACTCCTACCACTCGGGTCTGAGAGGCCATCCTTTCCAGCCTGTGCTACTGTTCTCCTTGCTTCCGCCTTTGCTTACTACTCTATTCTGCTCACAGTAGCCAGAGAGATCCTGTCAAAGCTTAAGTTCTGATCCCGCTCTGCTCAGAAGCCTCTCATGGCCCTCATTTCATTCAGGGTAAAAGCCAAAGTCCTCACCATGGTCCACAAGGCCCTGCTTAGTTTAGCCCCTGCCACGTCTGACTTCGTCTCCTCCTCCTCTTCATTCATTCCACTCCAGTTACACTGGTCTCCTTGGTGTTGTTAAACATGCCACGCTGAGTCTACCCTCAGGATCTTTGCATTTCCTGTTCCCTTAGCTCCTCATCTCGCTTAGATAATCCCAGAATGCAAGTGTTTTCCACATCTCAGCATCTGGATTCATTTGTTAATGCTTCCCAAAAAGGGCAGAAAAAGAAAGGGATAGGCAGCAGGCCTCTAGTACACACACAGACTTTCCCTGCTATGTGCAGAGAGGCAAGCCTGGCAGACGGGGCAAAGAGAGGCTAGGGTAGGAAGGAGTTAGGGGCCAGCTCACTGTCTCAGCCCGGGGCTCGCTGTCTGCCCTTTCCCCGTTAGGGATGCATCCTTTCTGGATCATGGGGATAGCAAGCGTGGGGTCGACACCCGAATTCTCTCTCTCCTCCAGGGACTTCTTGGAGTCTAAGGAAGAATGGGAGGGTGCAATGAGGTCCCACTCTATCCTTCCATTTTCCTCCCCTTCTTCCTTCACTGGGGCAAAGTGAAGAGAGGATCACTCACCCTCAATGAGCTCCTTCACAGCCTGGGACAGCAGCCCATCCACCAAGGCCTCAGTATTTGTGGATGGCCCAGGAGCATGGGTCGGTGGCTGCCTGCGACGGCCATTCTGGATCAAAGGGATGACGAGTTCCTTGGGGGTTTCTGAGGGCTTCACACTGATGTGGACATAGAGTCGTCAAGTTGGGAGAGTAGCATGGTTCAGTGGGTTCTGAGCCACACTCCTCCCTCCAGAGAAAACAAAAGAGCCAAACTCACCCCCCACCCCAGATGGACCACACCCTCTGCTCTCCTGTAAGGCCTCTAATGGTGCTTTCTTGGGATTCTCTCCCTCACCCCCAACTCTTAAATGTCAGTGCCTTTGAGGAATTAGCCTTCAGTCCTGGACCCTCCTCTGCTCATCCCAAGATTCACTTCCATGACCTTCATGATGCCTCACAAATCACCGTCTTCAGCCCAGACTCTCCCCAGATCCAGGGTCCACGTCAATCTCCTAGATGGCTGATTTTCTTCTGGAAGCCTCTCCCTCTGACTCTCTTTTCTTTTTTTTTTTTAATTTTTTAAAAGATTTTATTTATTTGACGGACAGAGATCACAAGTAGGAAGAGAGGCAGGCGGGGGTGGGGGGTGGGGGGAAGCAGGCTCCCCTTTGAGCATACAGCCCGATGTGGGGCTCGATCCCAGGACCCTGAGATCATGACCTGAGCTGAAGGCAGAGGCTTAACCCACTGAGCCACCCAGGCGCCCCTAACTCTCTTTTCTGAATTAAGCAGATGATGGCCTCTCCCAACCTGAATCTGCCCATTCCACCCCGTTCCCCATACTAAAGAAGCTTCACCGCTTCGGCTGGGACACTACGGGTCCTTTCGTTCTTCACTCTTTTCCTTCTCTCAGAACGCACACACCTCAGGGTCCTCAAGTCCTGAAACACCCCCTCTCAGGAATACATCCTCTTTTCTCAAACGCCACGGCTCTCAGGCCCAATTCCCCCACCTCTCCTGTTCCATAATGCCTCCTTCTCGCCTCCACGAACTTTCCCCAAGCTGTGCTTCAGGCGTTCCAGACCACTGCCACCAACACAATCAACTTACATTCCACCCTCCCGCTTGCACCCACCGAACCGAACTCCAAGGGATGAAAGACCCGACGCTTCACCTTTGCAGCTCCCTCCCTTCCACGGTCTTTAAGAAATCCTTCTCCTCTGGAGCCGCACCCGCGTCGTCCGCCAGCCGTCTCCGGGCAGATGTGCGACTGAAACTGAATGAAATTGGGGCAGCGGAGGATCCCGACGGCCTCAAAGCGTCCTCTTCGGCATCCGCCATCTTGCCCCCCTTTCCCAGGCTAGTGCGCTGCTTGCTGGAAAGTTTAGTTTGCGCTCTGTTTGACCAGGGCCAGAAGACGAGCGCTAGAACTACCTTTCCCACATAACACTGCGGTAGCAGCCGCGAAGTTGAAAAAGGGGCCTTAGAAAGTAATTGTCGCCCTTTTTACTTCATAGGAGCGCGTCGCGCCAAGCATAAAGGGAAATGTAGTTCTTGGGTGAGGTAGGTAGGGCAGAAGTAGATTCATTCTTGCCAGGTATTCCTTCCTAACAATAAAAACAAGTATTTATTAATTTCCTACAGTGTGCATGTTACTATGCCCTGCTGGTATGGGGAAATGTAGATAAAATACATCATTAGGAAAAAAAAGTCTGTGAATGCCAGTTGTGTACAATAACAAACAGACATTTAAATTGTGCCTACCAATGCCAGATTTAATACACAAGCTCTGGATTCAGATATTAGTAAAATAGACATCCTCCTTTCTAATAGACATCCTCCTTTCTAATAGACATCCCCCACTGGAATCAGTGGGGAACAGTAACACTTAAACAGATATTTTACACACACACACACACACACACACACACACACACACAGTTGACCCTTGAACAATGCAGGGGTGGGGGGTCAATCCCCTGCCCCCCGGTGATAATTTGAGTAACTTTTGACTCCCCCAAACTTAATTACTAACAACCTACTGTTAACTGGAAAGCTTAATGATAACATAAACAGTAGATTAACACATATTCCTCATCTTACATGTAGTATTTGGGGGGGGGGTTGTTGATGATTTGTTTTTAAGTAGGCTCCACGCTCTGCATGGAGCCCAACTGTAGGGCCTGAACTCACAACCCTGAGATCAAGACATGAGCTGAGGGCACCTGGGTGGCTCAGTTGGTTGAGCGTCTGCCCTCAGCTCAGGTCATGTTCTCAAGTTCTACATTGGGCTCACTGCTCAGCAGGGAGTCTGCATCTCCTCCCTTGCCCCCCCACCCTGTCATCCCTCTTTCTCTCCGTCTCTCAAATACATAGTCTTTTAAAATAAAGAAAATTAGGGGTGCCTGGGTGGCTCAGTTGGTTAAGCGTCCGCCTTCAGCTTGGGTCATGATCCCAGGGTCCTGGGATCGAGCTCTGCGTCAGGCTCCCTGCCCAGAGGGAAGCCTGATTCTCCTTCCCCCACTTGCCCTGCTTGTGTTCCCTCTCTTGCTGTCTCTGTCAAGTAAATAAATAAAATCTTAAAAAAAAAAAAGAAATGTGCTTTGGGTAAGTAGTGCTGGTCAGGCATAGATTACAAGATGATCAGGGGCCTAACATGACTTTTCTCATGTCAAAAAAAGCTATGCCTTATCTTTCTTTTTCCAGGGATCCCTAACTACTTCTGCTTATATTACCAACATTAAATATGTTGTGAGAGCGAGGTTCTAAGGCTTTGAAAGATTAATGGGACAGATTCCTCTTGTGTCAGACCATAAAGAGATATGGAAAATGAAAGGGCCCCATGAAAGGCTGTTTTTTGAACTGCTGTTTTACTCCTTTTCCTGCTTCTATTCTTGCTAGGATCAGCACACCTGCCTTACACATTCCTTGTAATACAAACAACCTATGTTCTCATTTTGTAAGGATCGAGGAGTTAATGATTTCTTTGGAGTCTTCCAGCACAACAGATAACTTCTTTTTTAATATTTTTTTTAAGATTTTATTTATTTACTTGACAGAGAGAGAGAAAGTGAGAGAGGGAACACAAGCAGGGGGAGTGGGAGAGGGAGAAGCAGACTTCCCGATGAGCGGGGAGCCCAATGCAGGGCTCGATCCCAGGACTCTGGGATCATGACGTGAGCTGAAGGCAGCCACTTAACAACTGAGCCACCCAGGCGCCCCACAATAGATAACTTCTAAGAAATGACTAGGTGAGGCCATTATGTGTATATTCTAGACCACCGAGCTAGAATCTTGATGCAGAGACTCCCTATTAGTGACTTATGGAGGACACCTGGACCCTTCTAGTTCTGACCAGTTTCCATGTGTCTGAGGGGACACTTACATCAGACTACAATCCTCAATAAAAGCCCCAGACCCAAGCAAAAACAGGACACTCTCCTTCCCTTCTGAGTCTCCCAGATACTCTGTATCTGCACTCTCTTTATATCTTCAATAAACCCTGCTCTTACATCCTCTTGGCTCACATTTGATTTCTATCCTGTGTGACACCAAGGACTCTCTTGGCTGGTCCTGCGGGAACCCCTCTGGGTCCTCAGACCCAGCCTGCATACATCATTAAGAGCTTGTAAATTAGGGGTGCCTGGGTGGCTCAGTCCTTAAGCATCTGCCTTCGGTTCAGGTCATGATCCCAGGGTCCTGGGATTGAGCCCTACATCGGGTGCCCTGCTCAGCTGGAAGCCTGCTTCTCCCTCTCCCACTCTTCCTGTTTGTGTTCCTCTCTCACTGTCTCTCTCTCTCTCTCTCTGTCAAATAAATAAAAATAAAATCTTTTTAAAAAAGAGCTTGTAAATTAGAAGACTGATACTTAAATAGTCACCAGAAAGAATACGAGATATCTGCCAAAAATTCATCCCAAGGAAATCATTAAAGATGTGTGAAAAGATTTTTCTAAGTTTATTTAACAAATCTCTATACTCGGGACGCCTGGCAGGCTCAGTTGGAAGAGCATGGGACTCTCCATCCTGGAGTGGTGAGTTCAAGCCCTACGTTGGGGGGTAGAGATTACTTAAAAAAACTAAAATCTATATGGGTGCCTGAATGCTTCAGTTGGTTGAGCATCTGGCTCTTGATTTCGGCTTGGGTTGTGATCTCAGGGTTGTGAGAACGAGCTCTGGATGGGCTCTTCGCTCCAGTGCACAGCTGGCTTGGGATCCTTTCTCTCCCTCTCCCGTCAGCCCCTCCCCAGCTTGTGCAAACACACTCTAACTAAATAAAGTCTTTTAAAAATATATAAAAATAGGGGCACCTGGGTGGCTCAGTGGGTTAAAGCCTTTGCCTTCGGCTCAGGCCATAATCTCAAGGTCCTGGGATCGAGCCGCGAATCTGGCTCTCTGCTCAACAGGGAGCCTGCTTCCTCCTCTCTCTCTGCCTGCCTCTCTGCCTACTTGTGATCTCTGTCTGTCAAATAAATAAATAAAATCTTTTTAAAAAATAAAAATATATAAAAAATAAAATCTTAAAAAAAAAATCTCTACACCCAATGTGGGGCTTGAACTCATCACCCTGAGCTCAGGAGTTGCATGCTCCTCTGAGCCAGACAGGTGCCCCATGAAAAGATTTTTTTTTAAAAGATTTATTTATTTATTTTAGATAGGTGGGGGAGGGCAGAGGGCGAGGGAGAAAGAATCTCAAGAAGACTCCTCACCAATTGCGGAGCCTGACAAGTGGCTCAATCCCCTGACCCCCAGATCATGACCTGAGCTGAAATCAAGAGTTAGCCCCTTTACCTACTGAGCCACCCAGGTGCCCCCCAAAATATTTTAAAAATAGAAGTTCTAGTATTTTCTTTCCTTTTTTTTGGTAAGATTTTTATTTATTTGTCAGAAAGAGAGAGAGAGACAGCACGAGAAGGGGGAAGGGCAGGCAGCGGGAGAAGCAGGCTCCCTGCTGAGCAAGAGGGGCTCCTAGGATCATGACCTGAGCCAAAGGCAGTCACTTAACCAACTAAGCCACCCAGGTGTCCCCCCAAAAAGATTTTTTTAAAGATTTTATTTATTTATTTGACACAGAGAGAGGGATCACAAGTAGGCAGAGAGGCAGGTAGAGAGAGAGGGGGGAAGCAGGCTCCCTGCTGAGCAGAGAGCCCAATGCGGGGCTCAATCCCAGGACCCTGAGATCATGACCTGAGCTGAAGGCAGAGGCTTAATCCACCGAGCCACCCAGGTGCCCCAAAAAAGATCTTTCTATGAGATTCATCATGGTATTATTTCTTATAGCAAAACATTGAAAACCACTTAAATGAACAACAGAAGGGGACAGGGTAAATGAATTATAGCACATTCCTTAGATGGAACACGTATACTAGAATCTTTAAAGGTAAAGCTGTAAATATGCTTAAATTAAAGTGGGACATAGTCACAATGTTTGGAAAGTAGAATAATATGGCGGGTCACAGGACAGTCTGGAAAACAGGAAGCACAATAATTAATCTCATGGCCATATTTCCAGGCTTAGAAGCCCCGGGCATCCTTAAAGATACCTAGCAGATAAAGACTACAAAACAGCTTTTATAAATGTCAATCTAAATAAAAAGGCAAACTGAGGCAAGCTCAAAAAGATTAGTTAATTTGGCAAATCAGAGATTGACACTGGACACCTGAACTGTAGCAAGCTACAGATGAGTCCCAAATTCCAATTCCTCTGCTATTCCTAAATAAACTCACCATTGTGAGCTTGCCTCAGTTTACCTCTTTATTTAGGTTGACATTCCTTGGAGTCAGAAGTGGGAGCCAAAAGAGATGACCCACAAAGAATGATAATCCAGGGAATCAAGTGAGGTACCCACATGGAACCCCTTGCCCTAATCACTTATATGAGTTACAGTTTACTTCCAGGTTGGTGAGTCTCCTTTAAGATTCTGAACTCCCTCCCTTTGGTTGAGTTTTCTGACTTTATTCAGGATCTGTTTAAAGACTTCTTTTTCAATTGTTTATGTTGTTTTTTTGTTCTTCTTAAGATTTTTATTTATTTATTTGACAGGGACACAGCTTGAGAGGGAACACAAGCAGGGGAGTGAGGGGGAGAAGCAGGCTTCCTGCCAGCAGGGAGTCCGATGTGGGGCTCTGATCCCAGAACTCAGGATCATAACCCAGCCAAAAGAAGAAGCTCAATGACTAAGTCACCCACGTGCCCCTAAAGATTTTGGTTTTTTTTGGTCAGTACTCATTTCTCTTAGTGAGTACCAGTTTGGTGAGTACTCCTTTGTTTTATTATTGGAAGCACATCAGAATTTTTGTGTAATTCCTTTGGAATTCTTGGGAGTGTTAAAAAGAAAGCCATAGGCCCAAGGTGGAGTCACTTGCCCTCAGGACAGCAAACTAAGAATTAATTGCAATTTCAACCTCTTCAGGAATGGAATTTTAAACCAATCAATCTGGAATTTTCTGGTCTGCACCAAAGAGGTCACCTCTCACATGGGGCCCTCTCATTCCCCAAAGCAAGATCAGGTAATCTGGATGGTAAGAACCCCCTTGTCCTACCTCTCCCCATAAGGGGAAGCGACCTTGCCTGAAACAGTACTTTCTTTACTGTTGCTAACAATTTC